AGAGCGTTTGAATAGCACCGAACAGTGACAAGTGCATTCATCTCTTCTTGCTGACCCCAGCCCCGCATTAACAAATAGGTCACAAACAACAGTGCTTTACAGTGATCTAATCCTCCAGCCATATGTCGGCTGACCGAAAAAATATAGGGGGAAAAAAGCTGCACAGAAAACGCCAAAAAGCTCTGCAAAAATTCTAAGGAAAACTGGATAAATATATCCCTGCATTTTGAAATTTGATTTCCTCACTCTATTGTTTCTCATTTCCTGAGAGCTGGCTTGGTGGATCGCATTTTCTGCTGCTGTCTCCAGTGCTTGTAACCAAACAAGGCTGAATCTCATTACCCTGATGCATGGCTCTAGCTGTATGCAATCTGATCTCTAAATCACAGTCATTTTTGCTCCATTACCGATTTGCCTTCCCACTCCTAACCTATAGGTCTTCAAGGGAATCAATTCGAAAATGGAGACTAGCATCATCTAATGAAGGCGTGTTTAATGCGCAGCACTTAAGTGCGTATTGAAGTAGCCAAGTAAGAACCCGCCTCGTGTCTCAGGAGGTTGGGCACCCTCCACATGCACCGACTCTGGTGGATCTGGCATTTCTCAGCCTCCCTGGGAAGCCACGTGTTTCTGCATGGAGTGAAAATGGACTTCAATCTTTTAGTGCCTAGTTTTGGATATCTGCTAATTAAATGAGAATCTGGGCAAATGCAGTCATTATCGTCCTTAGAGCCAAAGCAGCAAGACATTTCTCAACAAGCACAGGCCCTCTTCTGAATTCTCTGAGCTGTCTGCACATTGCTGGCAGAATGTATTCAGATTCATACAAAACGGTGTTCACCCCAGGTTATTCCCTCCTGGATTCATGAATAGTTCATTGAAATATGCAAAGTCTGGGTTACACTTTTGTCTGCTTTGATTGGACACATGGATCCACAGAGTCTGCAGCCCTACCATACGTACAGGACTACAAGCAGAGGAAAGCCAAAACAGAAGTTTAGTTCCCATCATGTTTAGTTTGGCTTAGGTTATTTCTTCAAACATCCTTAGATAAAGGTAGTTACAAGGAGCAAAATCCAAAAGATGATGAACGGGGGAGAGAACTGCCCAGTAAGCCTGTGCCTGAGTTCAGCTGGAATCGACCCGCGTTTAATCGGAATAGACCATGCCTACAGCCAGCATGAGAGTTTTAGTTTCATTTGTGATGCAGACAAACTTGTAGAACTGTTTCCAATGCAAATACTCATTTTGACATGTTCGAAATTAATGCACCTCTAATATGGGCTTTCAAAACAGACCTTTTCTGAGCACATTAGCAGATTCATGAAAAGAGGAAAGAGAATGCAACCCCAGCACATTCTGGTTTTCGCAAAATGAATATGCACTGACAGTGCAAGAGGCAGTGACTTTTGAAATGTGCTTAGCTCTAGTAATTACCAAGTGGTGTGTTTCTTCAGAAGTTCGAGCCGTTCTCATCTGCGGGCACCTTCCCTCATTCCTTTCTCCTTACTGCTCTGTACGTGCAGCTTCTCCCCGTGCTGCATCGCGAAGCCAAGGCTACTGGGTTGCTTACATCAAATCCCACTAAAGCCTCAGGGTGAAATTCCACAACAGTTTTAATTGACCTAAGTCAGGGTGTTGTGGTTCCTGCCCTTCCTCCACCACCCATTCCCATTCCCTCCCTACCACCAACACCAGCTTATACCAACTGTGGTGAAGACTAATCACTTTTTTGGGGGGGAGGGTTACTTCTCAGCCAGTTTAGTTCCCTGAACCAGCTCACCAGAAGGTCAGATGAGCACCCACATCAGCCAAAACGAGGGGACAGGGCCACTGCAAGGTCCCACTGACTGGTGAGGAGGTATTTTTCTTCTTTAATAAGATACAATCAGCACATTTGACCTAAAGAGCCTGGCTTTGCTGCCTGTTCCCAGGCTGGGAGCACTCACCTGTTGGGACTGTCTGCATAAATGTGAGCGGCAGACTCAGGGCCAGGGTATTTGTAGTGAAGATGGGCTCATTTAGTGTTACCATCTGCTTTGCCAAAGCAAGTCACCAAGTCAGAGCCTGTAAGCCCATGCCGGAGGACAAGGAGTCCCTTGCAGTTGGTACAGCTTGTGCTATCTCTCATGACTTCCTCACTGTGACGAGAGGACTTCCTGCCAGGAAGGAGCTGATGGACAACGTCACCCATCAGTTCCGCTTCATCATTCCTCCAGCCACCCAAAGAATGTCACCCAAAGAGTCAGGCCCTCCCTTTCGCCCCGGGCCCATCCTCAGAGCAATCAAGGCTTCATAACAACAGCCAAACTGCAGGGTGACTTGTGGTGTTGCACAAGGATCTCACGTGGCCAGGGATTATCCTCACTCTTCCCAGATGTTTCTTACCTTGAGGGAAACTGCCCTGTGGGGCTCACGATGAGGAAAGTATCAGGAGAGCAAAAGAAGCCATGCTCCTGGCTCTGCAGCATCATCTGGAAACTGAGTCTCCTCTCCTGTTGGGCTGGGACAGTGATTTGGACTGGTCCTGCCTGGCTGGATAGGAAGGTAAAAGACTTTGTACACTGACAGAATAGGAAGGCGAAAAGTGATGTGTACCTACAACCAAGCAGCCAACCAGTGGCCGCTGCTGTCAGAGGCCGTGGTACACCAGTACAAAGAGTTTCACATTTAAGCACAAAAATCCAGGGGCCCATGAGTAAAGCATCACCTTGCCTGCACCGCAGGAGGTAGGTGCAGCGATTCATCTGCCACTTACCTGGGCTGAATCTGGGGTACCAAGACCAAAATCAGCATTATCACATCACACACAGACTTGGGGCATCGTCTGGTCAACAGGAGCTGCCTTCAAGAGTGCTCGGCTCCCCGAGCACCCAACAGCAAGCTGTGCCTGGCAGCAGAGGCTTCCTGGAAAGCCACATCAGCTTACAACCCTGGGAACTAAGCTGTCTAGCTACAGCCATTTTTAGCTCAAATTTCATATTGCTGCTCTCAGTAACAGTGGCAAAGACCCTTGAAGCAGACCAAGTGCTGGAAGCTGCAGGCATTTTGAGCTCTGTCACTTTTAAACCGAGGGGTTGGTGTCACAGTGCTGTCGTGTCCCTGGGTAACGGCTGGATGCTGTTGTGGGTAAACCTGGCCAGCAGCAACTAGGATCACACTCCTCACCCCCTCAATGGGACAGGGAGGAGACTGGACAAAAAGTAAACTGGTCAGTTGAGATAAAAACAGTTTAATAAGACAAGGGGAATAAAGAATATGCAAAACAAGCTATACACCATACAATTTTTCTCACCGCCCAACAACCAATTGCACAGCCAGTCCCTGAGCAGCGATCACTGAGCTCACAGATTTCACAGAACTTGTGGAAAATGGATTCAAACTCATAGGAAAAGGGTTCCTGCCCCTCAGGCCAACCCCCATTTATAAACTCAGCATAGCACCTATGGTATGGAATATTTCCATATGCCAGCTGGAGTTAGCTGCCTGGCTGTGCGCCCTCCTGGCTCTTGTGCCCCTGCTCATTAGCTCAGTGTGGGAAACTGAAACGAGTCCTTGATTTCTTAGCAAGAACTAAAAACATTGGTGCATTATCAACTTTCTTCTCATACTAAATCTAAAACACAGCAGCTACTGGGAAGAAAATTAACTCTATCCTAGCCAAAACCAGGACAGGTGCCCATCGCTGATTATCCCAGCTGAAAAGCGGGTAGTTTTTCCCCTTGCAGATGAAAACTGAGGGCTGTTTATTTGGTTTGTGTTTGCACAGCACCCAGACGGTCGCTTAATTACTTGGCCCAATTTCCAGGTTTCTGATGCCCACTTCTGCAAGTGACTTCCTCAATTCCCAGGCTCATAAATCCAGTTGCAACTTTCATATCTGCATTCTCAGTCACGACTCCAACCTTGTCTCTGCTGCCCCATCACAAAGAGCGTCTCATCCTCAACAGGGCTTCCGAGGTGTTTTCATAGTGCAAAAAAATCCTCAACAGCACAGAGCTGTAAATCCACAGTCCCTGTGTAATCACCAGGCAGATTAAAAAATTCACCAGCTGGGCTGGAAGAGATTCATGACAAGCTATCGGGACTCCACAAAGCAAACAAACTGCACAGCACTGCAGGCAAGAATTTCTCGGGAACACGTTCAGTTCTAACACTATTGGACCAAGCTACTCCGTGGATCAGTCCTGCTGGACAACTGGTCTGCAAGATCCTCCAAACCAGCAGGCTTCCTTGGTTAAAGAAAAATGCCCATCTTCAACAACAGCAGGTTTCAGTAGCCGTTTGAGCATCGTGGCTAGTCAAGCAGGTTATAATTGGCTGTAATTAGTACTCCCACGAGCTTCCACATTCTTATGGACTGAATGAGATGGAGAAATAAAGGATTGCTCCCTGACCTTGCAAACATCAGAGGAAGTCAAAGGAACCCATTCCCTTCTGATCTTTAGAAATCAAACATCTCTGATCAGAGAAGGTAAAAGGCAAACACCAGCGCTGCTGGGAACTGGCTGTGCACAGCCCGGTGTCTTCTGGGGCACAAACCACAACGACGTCAACCTCAATCAAAAATAACTGCAACGCAAGTTGCTAGAGGCAGTAGGTTTCCTCTGTCCCTCAAGAAGCCTCTTTTTATGCTTGCATGTCCCCTGGAGCAGGTTGGGGGGGCAGGGGGTGCAAATCGTGGTGCAGCCACAAGAGATTTTAGCAATACTGAAAGCAGCCTTTGGCGAGATAAACTGAGCAACGCAATCAGTAAGGGTGAAAGCCAAATAAGCCTAAACTGCCGGACACATTGGAAATCCCACATCTGTCACCAGTGGGATCGAAAAACAGTTTGTGACACCTGCACAGCTAGGCTTGGCAGTGCTCTACACTCAGCAGGAGCTTAACCACTTGGAAAGGAAGGGCTGTGCTGATGATTTCCTCCACTGAAACCACCAATCTGACCCGCAAAAGAAAACTGACAGATGCTCCCATGCAAACACCCTGTGCGTCTTTCCATTAGTCTGCTTGCAATCCTTCGTCACAGGCATGATGTGGGGAGTGGGTCTGCATCAGCTTTTCCAGCTTGCATTTGGTTATTATGAGAAAGATACATGAGACTCCAGTGTTTTCCCCTCTGGGCAGGGCAAGACCTCCTGTTTTACTCCAAGATCAAAACCTGGGGGGAGTCAGGAGGCTGGAGGTGCTGCCATTCCTGGGTGCCTCTTTCAAGATTTATCTTACAGACGTAGCTCTGGTTCAGAGGGTGTCCAAGCCTATGCAGCTGTGTCCTAGGAGAACATAGCAAGGAAATCTGTCTGCTCACCCATTTCCAATATTTGTCCTCCAGCATTCACTATCAACCACTACTGCTGTTAGGATTCTGGACTGGACAGATTTGGTTTTATGCAGGATGGGACGCTCTTATCTTCCCACATGCTGGCTCCCAGCTCTGCTCTTCAAACCTGCATGTAGATCACCTTTGAAAGCAGAGGCCAAGTGCAGCACTCGCCGATTCTCAGCTCTCCTGAACGGACTGTCACAGGTTTCTCCCAAAAGCTCCAGCCCTGGATGCCTTTCCCCAGACTCTCCATTAACTGCCACGTTTTACACCCTTGAGGCTAAAGCCTCTACTAAGCCTTGTAGGCAGGTAGCGTGCTTTTTAAGCCTTCAACACCCAGGAGTACTCAGAGCCCATCCTACACAGGTAGATTTAAACATAAGCTAAAATAATTTACTGAACCAGCAATGTCTCTGCCCTGGACAGCCAAGGACAGTGCAGCTGCAGACCACTGGAGGCTGCATTGCCTATCCCAGCCGAGGAAGCAGCAAGTAGATACCAGCTTGGGCTGCAAAGCACAAGTTAATCCCCTGGTTTCCAGAGGGAGAAAACACAGCTGCCCAGGCTGTGGCCCTTTCCCAAGCCGTTTTTGAGGGTCTCCCAGAAGTTACTCCAGTGCTTTGTGCCCTGTGTGCTCGGTCCTGGCTGTTCCTGCTGCTCCACAGGCTCTCCAGGCTCCTCCAGCCACCTCACACTGCCTCCTCTTCCTCCACATCACTGCCAGCAAAGAGCAGCAGCCAGCCCTGCTCTCCCGCACGCTGCCCTCCACTCTGCCTCACCTGCTTGGAGCTTGCCCAAGATCAGACTCTGGCCCTAATCACTCCTCTGAGCCCTTGCACCAAATCCAGCACCCAGGCGGTGCCTCCAACCCCCTGCTCTCAGGCGAGTCTGGAGAGGCTGAAATCCCAGTCCCTGCAGCCGGGAGGACCAACAGGGCCATTCAGCCTGATGCACTCAGGACCCCCCTCCCAAACGCTTCTCCAGTGCGGCAGGAGGCCATCATCTAACATTAATATGATGAGACAACTTGCAGACTTAACACACTGTTACATCCTGCTGCCACCTAATCGTTAGCTCCGCGAGCTGGTGAGGTGCTCAGACGTGCAACGCTGTAGTGACCAAGCCTGTCAGCCAGCCACAGCTCCCCAGCAAAGCCCAAAAGCCAGCAAAACCCAAACCCAGTTCCTCTTTCAGCCTGAGAGAGGGAAGGAAGGCAGCAAATCTGCATTTCAGATGCTTGCTGAAAGGAACACTTTCTATAAACACAGATATGTAACAGAGTATTTTGCTAAATACTTTGCTAGATATTGCGAGTGCATCTGTATGCAGCTATGTGCCATACATACTCCTACACAGGAAAGGTTTTTATTACCTGTGCTGATGTTAGTGCCTTGCACCACAGCCCACAGCCCTGCTGGAGCCGCGCTGCAGGGTGAGCCCAGCCATGCTGTTCCTTTGCCATTAGCTCCACGAGGAGGTGGCCCAGGTCCCCAGTTTCCTGGGGATCTCAAACCCCTTCATTGAAACAAATGCCTTCATTTCCAGCGCTGCAGGAACGTTTCTACGGAAAGCAGTGCCTCAACTTTCCATTTAAAGCAAAGAATTGCCTTGTAGGAGTGCTGCACGTAGCATTTGCTAGGAGAGGCAGAAGGCAAGAGCGTGCATCTTGGAGCTAACCCCCGGGCAGCGTTTCTTTAAAACAGTCAGGCCAGATCCTGGTCTCATTTACACAGGCAGGTATCTGGACAGGCTTCTGTGAAATTACCCTGGATTTCCATAACCAGTGTGTCAGAAATTGCAGCCTAACACAGCCCTCGGGAAGAATCCATCGGTTTCACTGTGGCCTCTCAAAACTCTTCATTCACTCTTT